GCAGTTTATATTTACTAAAATAATTGCACGTCCATGTTCTGTGTACTGTGGGAGACCAGATATAGTGAATGCAGGGTCCTGAGTTTAGTAAGACTTTAATGAACAATTGAAATACATAGGAACAATTTTACCTGACAAAGATTTGTAATTCTGCACAGCCAGCCTTGTGATCCAAGCAACTCAGCAGACTGTACAGCCAGCGTGATCAAGACACTCCCAGACTTTTCTAAGGGCAGTAATAGAGCTATAAACTGCCCTTGCTACGCTGTCATAAAAATGTTAGAGTATTTATCACTGAAATCTCTATTCCAATAATAGCGTATAGACTCCTGTACCAGCATTCAAGCATTTGTGAATGCTTATAAAGGCCCATGAATGCACAATACATTTTGCTTCATTTATATTTATTTATATTTACTTTATTTAGATTTTGACCATCATACAATTAATTTAGAAAAATGTTTCACACATCCAAATTGGTACAAGCTTTTAGATATGAAGTTGCGCTGTAAACTATAGTACTGTAAACCTATAAAGTGCTAGTGCTAACCATATATTAAAATTAGACAATACATAAACATACATATACATACGCTGTTTAGGCTAACATGCAAACAATAGTGCACTTGTGTTTTAATCGCCCAAACCACCAGTGCTGTAATAATCAAAAAGTTCAAAATAGTTCATCCATGTGTAAAGATACATGCAGTCCAGACCGCACGGCAACTGAAAGTGACCACAGACCCCCGCCACCAGAAGTGACGTATCGCTGAGTGAGGGCACAGGGCATATATATATATATATATATATATATATATATATATAGTATTTATGCTTATGTATTGGCTACTGTTATGTTTATTATATGATTAGCACTAGCACTTTATGGGTTTACAGCACTATAGTTTACACAGTGCTACCTTATGTCTAAAATGTTGTACCAATTTGGCTCTGTAAAGGATATTTACAATTATTTATGGTGCCAGCAGTGTTTTAGTTATTTCATTATTGCTATTTCTTGCGTTTTTGAGTCTAAGGTCACTAGAGGGCGGTTTTATATATACAGTTAGGTCCATATATATTTGGACACAGGCACAATTTTCATACTTTTGGCTCTGTATGCCACCAGAATAAATTACAACGAAAAATCCAAATGAATTTGAAGTGCAGACTTTCAACTTTAATTCAAGAAGTTGAACATAAATATCAAGTACAAATTTTAGGTACTGCAAGCATTTTTATACACAGCCCCTCCATTTTCAGGGGCTTAAATGTAATTGGACAAATTAATATAATCATAAATAAAATGTTAATTTTTAATATTTTGTTGAGAATCCTTTACTGGCAATGACTGTCTGAAGTCTGGAACCCATGAACATTACCAAAGATGCCTTTCCAGGCTCTAACTGCAGCTGTCTTCAGTTGTTCTTTGTTTGTGGGTCTTTCTGCCTTTAGTTTTGCCTTCAGCAAGTGAAATGCATGCTCATCTGGTTTGAGATCAGGTGATTGACTCGGCCATTGCAGAATATTCCACTTATTTTCCTTCAAAAGCTCCTGGGTTGCTTTTGCAGTGTGTTTTGGATCATTGTTCATTTGTACTGTGAAGCGCCGTCTAATCAACTTTGCTGCATTTGGCTGAATCTGGGCTGACAGTATATCTCTGAACACTGCAGAATTCATCCAGCTGCTTCTGTCACATCATCAATAAATACCAATGACCCAGTGCCAGTGGAAGCCATGCATACCCATGCCATCACACTGCCTCCACCATGTGTTACAGATGACGTTGTGTGCTTTGGATCATGAGCTATTCCAAGCCTTCTACACACTTTTTTCTTCCCGTCATTCTGGTACAGATTAATCTTAGTTTCATCCGTCCAAAGAATGCTTTTCCAGAACTGGTCTGGCTTTTTTAGATGTTTTTTGGCAAAGTCTAATCTGGCTTTGCTATTCTTCAGGCTTATGAATGGTTTGCACCTTGTGGTGAACCCTCTGTATTTGCTCTCGTGAAGTCTTCTCTTGATTGCAGACTTTGACAATGATACTGTGAGGGACCGCCGAGCGGCACCACTAGCACTCCACTGGTCAGGCGTGCCCAGAGCGCGGAGTCTAAGCCCCAGGGTACTTGTTCACCAGAGCCCCTGATGGTGGGGATGGACTTGGAGTACCCCGGGACCAGGTCGCCACTACTGAGCACACCTGTCAGTGGTAGGGGTGTTCGCCAGGGGCTCCAACCAGGGAGAGCCAGATGTGAGGAGGTCGGGTGACCCCGATGGGATGGATGGCTGAGCAAGTGCGAAGTCAGACGGGCCGAGTTGCTAATGGAGAGGACGGTATGGTACAAGGGAGCGGGCAGAGAATCGTCGGGTCACACTCCAGGTCAGCAACAGTAGGTCAGAACTAATGAGGGGCATTCAGAAAGAGAGGTCAGGAAAAGCAAAGGTCTGGGCAGGAGAAATCAGCAGGTCAAGAGCAATCCGGGTCAATAACTTACTTAGGCACAGGTTCAGAATCACAGGATACAGGTAAGACCAGAAGGCACTGAAATGACAGCTCAGGGACATTTAAATATCCCGCCCTGCGCTGCCATTGGTGCCCAGCGGGCGGCTGCGGCTTCTACTGCGCATGCGCGAACTCGAACGCCGCGGCCGGCCCGGACCTAGTGCCCGTGTCCCTGCACAGGGCGGTGCACTGCGCCTGCGCCAGGACCATCGCGGCGGGGATCGAGGGGATCCCTGACAGATACCCCCACCTCCTGGAGAGTGTCCTTCACTTGTCTGGATGTTGTGAATGGGCTTGTCTTTACCATAGAGAGGATCCTGTGATCATCCACCACAGTTATCTTCTGTGGCCGTCCATGCCTTTTTTATGTTGCTGAGCTCACCAGTGCGTTCTTCTTTCCTCAGAATGTACCAAACTGTTGATTTGGCCATTCCTAATGTTGCTGCTATTTTTCTGATGGATTTGTTTTATTATTGGAAGCCTTACAATAGACTGTTTCACTTGCATGGACAGCTCCTTTGAACACATGATGTAGGTTCACAGCAATAGATTCCAAATCAATGAATAAATTACGAAGGAGTAGCCCACACCTGGCCATGAAACAGTTTCTGATTTAATTGTCCAATGACTTTTGGTCCCTTGAAAAAGGGGGGGGGGGTGGCTACTCTTAACAGCTGTAATTCCTCTACCCTTCCTCCACTTTGGATGTACATACCCTCAAATTAAACCTGAGAGTGTGCACCTTCAGCCTATATCCTCTATATAATTATAGCTTGAATATTTTTTGGTAAATACCTGAAGAAAACAAAATGTGCCTATGTCCAAATATATATGGACTTAACTGTATGTATGTATGTATGTATATATATATATATATATATATATATATATATATATATATATATACTGTATTTTTTAACTGTTGCATCTTCACGTTTATTTTGATAAAAAAAAATCCTAACTTAGGAAATACGTAAAAAAAATTGCAGCAATTTTGGCATTAAAGAGCAAGTAACTTTAAACACTTGCTGTTAAATGCTATCTGTGTGAAAAGAAGAAGGATGATTTAAAACCCACAGCTCTGATCTGTAAACGAGCAGAGTATATTTGATGATATATGATAAATTGGTAATTGACAAATTACTACCATTAGTGACTTTCTTGTAGTGTGAATAGAAGCCTGATATGCTTTTCAAATGCCATGCAGCTGTCTGTCTTTTTTCCAAGTTTGTAATGCTGTGATTTGTCATTACAACTTTTTACTATCTTTTGCTGAAAGTTACAAAGATATCGTGCACTAATCCTGCAAAGCTGTACTCTTCTATAAAGATTTAACAAAGGAGTGATTAAGAAGTAAAACCTATATGATTAAGGTGAAGGACTTGTTCACACCAGACATTAGCATTCCTCTTACCCACACATTTTTATATGAATTGTGATAGATTACATTTACCTGACTGAGAGATGCTGATCAAAGCACCAGAAATGCAGCACGCAGGATTTTTACACACCATCTTGATGTGACACTAAACTATGTATTTATTCTCCAAAAATAAATCATACACATACACTACTAAATGGTCCAAAAATCTATTTCTCATTAAATAATTATTTCTGTTTTTCTCCCTACTTGTAACATCCCCATATCTCCCATACCTCTCCTTTTCCCCCCTCACTATTTGCCTGGGACCAGCAGTGCACCTTAGTTGCAGTCACGTACCCTGCTCTATGAACAATACACATTCCATAGATCACAGCCCATAATCTCGGAAGAAAGCAAGAGCAGATGACTACATTCCTACATACAGCGGGACCATGGAGAAGGAATGTATCCACCCTCTAATAGGAAGTCAGACCACAGAAGCAAACTAAAAGAAAACAAAGGAATTTTGGAGATTCGGAGGAGGAGGAGAGCAATAGAAGGGACCTTTTGAGTTTAAAATATATGTTTGAATGGAATTTTCCCTTTTTTAAACCAGAGTTTAGTGTCATTTTAATGTAAGAGTTGCTTTATACCTAACTAGGTCTTTCAGATAGTGATATGTTCACTAGAGTAGCATGAAATGTCCCCTTTAATAGAAATTCTGAACAGCAAGTAAAATCAGTGAAGCTAAGGGGTTTATTTACTAAAGCTGGAGAGTCCAAAATCAGACTCCCTTCTGCATAGAAACCAATCAGCTTCTAACCTCAGCTTGTTCAATGAAGCTTTGGCAATGAAACCTGGAAGCTGATTGGTTTCTATGCAGAAGGGAGTCTGATTTTTGCCCTCTCCAGCTTTAGTAAATAAACCCCTAAATGTCCAGCCAGTTTACTTAAGTGATAAGTACAGCCAAAGCTTTTTGACTGTTCTTCTGTAGATCACAGGAGTGCAGTTCGTTCTGTACTTCTGTGACCCATTTCAGCTGACAGCAGACTGGTGTCACTCAGCTGGTCCAGGCTGGGGAAAGATCCTGACTTCAAAGTCATCTGGCTCAGCCTCTAAGCGAAGTCCATACCATAACTTTACACTTGGTACAATGCAGTCAGACAAGTTCCTTTCTTCTGGCAACCACCAAACCCAGACACGTCCATCAGATTACTAGGCAGAGAATTGTGATTCGTCACTCCAAAGAACACGTTTCCACTGCTCTAGAGTTCAGTGTTGGCATGCTTTACACCATTGCATCCGACACTTTGCATTGCACTTGGTGATGTAAGGCTTGAATACAGCTGCTCGGCCATGGAAACCCATTCCATGAAGCTCTCTACACATTGTTGTTGTGCTAATCTGAAGACCACATGAAGTTTGGAGGTCTTTAGCTTCTGATTTTGCAGACAGTTGGCAACTTCTTCGCACTGTGCGCTTCAGCATGTGCTGACTCCACTCTGTCATTTTACATGGCTTACAACTTTATGGCTGAGTTGCTGATGTTCTCAGTTGCTTCCACTTTGTTATAATACCACTAACAGTTGGCCATGTAATATTTAGTAGCAAGGAAATTTCTCGGATGGACTTATTGCACAGGTGACAACCTATCACGGTACCACACTTGAATTCACTGAGCTCCTGAGAGCAATCCATTCTTTCACAAATGTTTGTAGAAGCAGTCTGCATGTCTAGGTGCTTGATTTTATACACCTGTGGTCATGGAGGTGATTGGAACATCTGAATCCAATGATTTGGAGGGGAGTCCCAATACTTTTGGCAATATAATGTATGTAACTACTCCAAATGACACAGCCCCTTGTAAAACCAAATCCAAACATTTTTCTACATGTACATCACTGTGACATTTCTGGAATAGATATTGTACCTTTTTACACAACTTTCAACACTTTCTTGACCACCACTACCATGCAGATATTTCTCATATCTCCAAAAGTAGACCCAACCACTGGTCAGGTCTATATATGCATTTCCCCTTTAAGGGTGTTTGTTGTTGAAGTCTCCTTTTACTGTGTGCACCGCATTTCAATACAAAATTCCACTATGGCAGTGATGCTGCTTGGAGGGGAACATGGATTATATCCTCCACTAACCATATGCCAAAGATGGAGATTGGCTTCTTGCAAATGCTTCTGAAGTATTATAGGAGATCAGCAGAGATGCATAATGGAGAAACTTGTTTCATTTGAGTTGTGTTTGGTAAGTTAATAATTTTGTTTCATCATATTGGTTATGTTAGAATAATTTGTTTTAGGAATTTATTTTGTGTATTCAAATTAATTTCAAATACTTGCTATTTTCAAATCTATTGCAAATAAAAAATTGGAATTTGAAATTAAAATTTTAGAAGATGTCTATATTCGTTCTAGTTTATTCTCTTCTATTCAATTCTATTCAATTTTTTCTATTCCCATTCTGTTCTATTCTATTCTTTTATTTTCGATTCTATTCTATGCCATTCTATTCTACTTTATTATTTTTTTTTCTATTTTATTCTCTTCTAGTCAGGGCTTTTTTTCAGCGGGAATGCGGGGGAACGCAGTTCTAGCACCTCCAGCACTGAAAGTATGTAATAGCAAGGGTTGTTGGGGTGTGCTGGAGGATCTGTTGTTGGTGGCTGCTGGGGATCTATTGTCACTGAAGGGGATATATTTTTGTGTGGTGGTCTATTGTTGGTGGTGGGTGATCTATTGGTGATGAGGGTCAATTGTTGCTGGAAGAAATCTTCTGCTGAGGGAGGGGTCTAGTGTCTATTATTATTGCTGGCTGCTGGAGAGTCTATTGATGCTGGCTGCTGGGAGATCTGTTGTAGCTGATGGGGGTCTATTGTTGCTAGAGGAATCTATCATTGCTGGGGGGGATCTAATTCCGTTGGTTGCAGGGGATCTATATTTCTGCTATTTTTGTTATTATTAAGAAATTCCATACAAATTATTTTTCTCCACAAAATGATACTTGTCTCTGTATTCTCTAAAAGGAGTGGTGCTGGGAGGTGGGTAGGGGGTGGAGACAAGAAGTGACTCAGAAAAGGGGAGTTTCTGCACCTTTTTTTGAGAAAAAAAAGCCCTGCTTCTAGTATATCATTTTCTATTCTATTCTATAAAGCATCCTAAGTTGTAATGATCATCTTATTTCACTTTTAATCCTAACTTTATTTATTGCATTATGTTTACATTTCAAAGTCAAATACATTTTGAGTTGTAATTCATTTTCAAATCCATTTTCGAATTCAAATTCAGATAATATGTTAAAATTTATTCTGGATTATTGAAATTCATTACAATTGTGATACAGGAATTTGAATACATCCGAATCTCTGAATAACGAAAATGTAGTCTGAATTTTGATCTGTAACAGAACAAATCACATGTCTAGAGGTCAGAGATTGCATACCGGTGAAGTCAATCCGGTGAAGGATTTTGAGGAAGTCCATTTGTATATTGTTTCAGTAATTATATTTACTGGAAATATGTACTAATTACATTTTAAACGCTAAGGAGTTGATTTACTAAAATTGGAGAGTGCAAAATCTGGTTGTAGCCAATCAGCTTCTAACTTCAGCTTGTCTAATTAAGCTTTGACAAAAATCTGGAAGCTGATTGGTTTCTATGCAGAGCTGTACCAGATTTTGTACTCTCCCAGGTTAGTAAATCAACCCCTAAATGGCTATGCTGTGGTAATAATTTTTTAGAGACTGATAAAGCAAGGTTAATAATATTTCTTGAAACATATCTAACAGTATAATTGAACCATAGGGATTTAATAAATGTTTTGGAGTTACTAGAACTAGGCTACTTAATAGAGCCAGCCTGGATGTGTTATCACTGACTTTTAAAAGGGGAAAAAATAATTTAACAAAATTAAATTGCAAACGTTCGGCTTTACCATTCCACTATGTTATGTTAAAATCACACTGATGTGATATCCTTTAAATCAGGTTTGTTGTTAATTTTTAAGACTACCAGTATGAGTTGACAGAAAAATTTTGGAACCAATATACAACGTACATTTTCTAGCAAGTTCAGAGGCACATTCCAGGTCAATAAAAAAAAAAACAAATAAACAAGTAATTTATTTAAATACATTTAGTAAGTCACAGGGTTCATTTAATATGCACAACCCTAAGGAATGAAATGAAAGATTGCAATCTTTAAATACATTTAGGGCAGGGCTTTCTTAGTTGAAATGTGGGGAAATCCAGTTCTGCCATCTCTAGCACTGAATGTATGTAATGGAAAGGGGTGTTGGGGTGTACTGGGGTGTCTATTGATGATAGCTGCTGGGGTGAGCTATTGTCTGAGGTGAATCAACAATAGTTGCGGGGAGAGGGTTGTTGTTGCTGGGGAGGGATCTATTGTTGAGGGAGTAGTCTATTGTTGCTGTCTGCTAAGTGATCTATTTTTGCTGGGGATCTATTTTTGGTGGTGGATATTCTGTTGCAGGGAATTTATTGTTCCAGGTAAGGGTTTATTCTTGCTCCGGTGGATCTATTGCTGCTGGGGGGCTATTGTTTCTGATAGGGATCTTTTTTTGGTGGGGGGATCTATTTTTTTGCTGGGGTCTACTGTTGTTTGGGGAATCTATTGTTGATGGGTAATCTATTGTGGCTGACTGCAGGAGATCTATTTTACTGCAAATGATACTTGGTTCTGTTTTCTCTAAAAAGGGTGGTACTTGGAGTTGGGTGGGTGATAGAACCAAAAGATGATGCTCAGAGGTGGGTAGGGGACACATACAAGGGGTGACTCAGAAGGGAGGAGTACCTGTACCCATTCTCTGAGAAAAATAGCCCTGATTAAGAGTGTAAATAAGGGTTCAGGTGGACAGTATGTATGTATGTATGGCACTGAGATCAAGAACACGGGGCATCATTTCAAAGTTCAAAACTAAGTTTAAAAGTATTATTATACTGAAAGTTCATTGGATACTTGGAAAAGCCTTCCAACAGAGGTCATATTTCAGTCTCCAGTTAATGAATGTAAACATGTTTGGGATGAACATACTGTATGTCTATAATCAAGAAATGTGGTTGTAAAAAAATGTACCATATGTTAAAATAACATGGACAACTTAGTCTCTTTCTGCTGCCACTCTTCTATGTTTCTAACTCCTTACTGGCATACTGGGGAAGAGTTTCAGAAAGTATTGAAGCCAGACAGTAAACATTACAGCCAACCATCTTTTGTAAAAAGAGTCCATCAATGAAAGCCTCCATGTTTCTCTAGTGTGGGGTTTTAGGAGCATGTATAAAGACCTAGAATTGAAATAGTTTAAAGCAGTTTTAAACTCAAAAGCAAACATTTATTATATTGCAACTTACTAGTTCTCTGATGTGATGGCTGTATTAGTTTCCCTTCTTAAGCTGGTGATTCAGCCAGCAAGTCAGTTGTTTTCAGAAGATCAAGCTTTTAAGCAGAATGTAATCCCTTATATGGATGAGACCATCTATTTACCACTGACAGGGGTGATTAAAATAATCATAATTTATTCACTTAAAACCTTCATCCTAAAAGGAAAACATGTTTACTGTAACTGATTATAAAGTGTAAGCTAGAGTTTGGCTTCAGTTTGTTTTTGTATTTAAATCTGCTAATATATTTAACACTCCCTTCCCCCTCAGACTGATGATGGTGCTGTCTGTTGTATCTTGTGCTCATTCCTCCAGAGTGGTTCTCACAAATACAAGAGGTATGTTACTGGCCAGATCACCAGGTGAATTCGGAAGGAAAAAAGCCTGAAAAAAGAAAACTGATGCAGCCATTAAATCTTATGATTGGTGATCTGCAAAATATTACATTTTTGTTTTTTTTTAATACCGCTTTAAGAATAGAATTGAGTCAACACTTTATTTAACAAAACATTATTCCTAAGTAAAGGAGCTGAAGCATGCCTGTCCACCTTCTTGTCTATATCTGGATATCACACATAACACTTGTTGGTTATAAGCTCTGCTTTCTCCTGTATTTCTTTGCAAGATATGCGGTTAGTAAACTGATCTCTGTGTTACTAAATACCCTCATATTAGGAAGAGACATGGCTTTACTGAAATGGGACTTTGACAAATCAGCAATCTGGCTTCCTGTTACAAAATATGCCCACTGAGGGTTATTCCTTTCTGAAATAGAAACTCATCTTACCTGTAGCCATCATCAAGCCAATATATCTCTCTTCCTTGGGAAATTGATGTATTAATTGTTGGGATCTTATTGGTTAATTAATCCACTTAATCTGCTAAATCTGTCAACATGAATATCAGAAAGATACCTAACAAGGACAATACTGGGAAAAAAGAAATGCATCTAGTAGACACAATAGCTTTATTGTAATGTACAGTGTAGTATAGTAGTGGCAATGTATAGCATAATACAGGTTAGCATAATATAGAACATAAACAAGATAGTAAAAATCGGATTCAAAGTAGTAAGTAAATAAAAATGGACATGATTGGGAAGATATTAGTAGTATACATATTGTTGAAATACATCCTACTAGTAACATTCAGACATTTGAAACAGCATAAAATTATAGAATCCGAATCTAAGCAACATAAGAATAATTATTGCAGAAATAGTAGACTGGAAAGAGTACAGCTAATGGATTTTTTTTTGTTTTAGTTTCCTCCAAGGGAAAAATTAACAAGTAATTTTGGAACTTAGTGTAAAGGATGAGGAAATTCATTTTGC